ATCCAAGTGAGAACGTCCCATCTGTGCTTCTCCTCTGCTCATCCTGGACCCTGGAGGATACATAGGGCTAATTGTGGCCCCATTTTCCCTTTCTTATCTTTTTGTTTTTACGCAGTGTTGGGGTCAGGGGAGCTCCCAAGTGACCAGTGACAGGAGCAACAGCCATCGGCCCCTGCTGAGCATTAGTAATTAGAGCCCTCCCTCCTCCTCCTCCTCGCTGTGCTTCCCTACAGATCCAGCCCAGGGACCCTCTCGCTCTACTTCTGAAGGGCACAGGGGCAGAGAGGATCAACAGCTGCTGATGGGAAACTAGCATCCCTCCGTCCTCTTCAGAGGATGTGCAGCAGCATCTTTGATGGAAGCTTGGATGAGACATATTACAGGATCCATCCTCATAGTGTTATGTTGTTTGTTCTCCATTGCTGCTGAAACACTGAAATTTCCCCATTGAAGGATCAATAAAGTACCTACCTACCATCCTTGCCTGTCTAGTTTCTCGTGCCTCTTCTCTTTCACCATTTTTTATGACTAGCTGGTGACTTATCAATCTCTTGGTGCTTTATTACTGAAAGCATTTCAGTCGGTATTGGACAGGCGGTACTGCAAGACTCAATAAACTACTATGAGTAGCCAATAACAGTAGCATGACTTGTTACAGTATAAATAACTTTGTGAAGCTTATAATGGTCACTTTAATTAGAAATTAAACTATCTGCTGAAATATATAATGGTCAGTTGTCGGGAGTGTTGACAAAACATTAGGTACACCCAGAGCAGGAAGAAGTACACAGATCATTTACTTAAGTAAAAGGAGCAATACAACAATGTAAAAGTACTTCTTCTGTTGAATATCCTGTCCTTCCTACAGAATCATCACCATTAAAATATACTTAAAGTACAAAAGTTAAAGGACTCCTTATGTAGAACAACCTGTTTCAGATATATTATTGGAAAATCTACGTTGCTTAAATGTTGCAGCTGGTAAAGGTGGAGCTAATTTTAGCTACATGCTGGACAGATGAAATCATGATAATACATCATAGTTCATTAGCTGATAATATTTTATGTGTTACTGTGTTGTATTTTAGATACAATTTGTAAGTAGCTCACACAGTAAATAAATAAAGTGGGGTAAAAGTATTTCCTTTTTTGTGGAAAGAAGCATAATGAAAATGTTCAAGTTAAGTAAAAGTACCTCAAATTTTTACTTAACTACAGTTACTGAGTAAATCTTCTTTGCTTTTGTTTTTCTACCACTAGGTACAATTTGAACACTGAAATAAAAGCAGGCAAAATTACAAAGTTAATATTTACAGGACTTATTTGGTGCAGTGCTACTGTACATTATCCATTATACTCAAGTGTAAATCACAAGACCTGGATGCATCCCACTGACTGTTCCTGGAGCTGTCCATGCTGTATCATGACTACATGTCTCATCACATATAGTAATAAAATGCACCAGCATGTTTTGAATTACAGTTTTTCAGTTCCCAAATGTCACCATTAGATAGCTAAAGTCAAGTCATTTAATTTCTTCCTTTTTTGTGCACACAGTGGAAATGTATTTCATCACCAGGGATTTGTGGTCACCGGTTGCCCCCAGACTGGGAGGTGGCAGGTTTTAATATGTAGAAGAGTGTTGGCACCATCTAGTGGGAAAACCAGCGAATACTGTCATGACTGGGGCACTGCACTTTTTGGCAACAAACTATGAGAATAAATAAAAGGGATGCATCCCAGTGTATAGCTTTTTATATTTAATTAATATTTTGATGGGTTTTAGCTTTCCCATCATAGTGATCTTGACACAAACATTAATAAAGGTAAGTGCAAATATGTTTAAAAAGCTGCAAAGGAAAGAAAAAAAGCAAAAGTGTTGCTTCTTTAACAAAAGACTACAGGATGTCAGAATTTTGGTCCTGCAGAAGAATGTCCCAAGGAACAGTTCTACGTTTTCAGCTGAGCTTAGTGTAAAGACTTGAAGCAGGGACAAACAGCTGGCATAACTTTGTTCAAAGGTATCCCAATATCTGTAATGTAAAGATGCCAAGTTGTGGTTTTAGTGGACTTTTCATTTCTCTGGAGTCAGTAAGTTATAATCAAAAACCACAATTTGTCTTTTTTATATTTCAGTTTATAACATGTTAGTGAGCTTTACAGCTGCTGGTGTTAAGATTTTGTACTTTGGCCAAGGACAGGCTAGCAGTTTCTCTTTATATCCAGTCTTTTTATGCTAAGCTAAATTAACCATGTGCTTGCTGTATTTCCATTTTGTTAACAGTAACCTAATGAGACAGGCATTTGCCTTTTCATCTTTTGGCCAAGAAGCTGAATAAGTGTGTCTCCAAAAATATTCATTTCAATCTGTTTGTTGAACTCACGCTTCCTTTCACTATTGTGGTTCTCACATTACCTGTTATAAAGGGCATTCAGTGCTGCAGAAGTCTCCTGACTTAAACAGCCGGTAGACGTTAACCAGCGGGAACATTGTGAAGGAGCCGACTAATGAGCCGATCTGGGTTGCAGCTCCAAACCAGACCAGGGCGCTGTAGCCCTGGTCTCTCAGAATGACACCCACCATCACTTTGACATAAGAGAGCATTCCAATGAAGAGGAGCCATGAGAGCACCTAGAAAGAGCAAAACAAACAATAAAGCAGGCTCAGCAGTTCATCTAATGCTAATCTGGAAAAGGATCATTCCAATTTATTTCAGTCTGGAGTATTTCCCATAAATGTGCCTATCTATGGTTTGTGCTACCTCCACCAGACTGGCACGAGACAAAACAGCATATTCAGCACAAGACTGCTATAAAGTTCTAAATAAATCTAATTTTTTCATGACTCATTTCAAACACTTGTCTCCAGCTGACAGTACAATACAGAAAGCAGCCACCTGGAAAGGCCGTTATGGCTAATTTTGGGGGATCTACCTGCCGACTGATCTAATCATCATGAGAAACAAATCATGATTTCATGCATCATCATTTTCAAATGCAGAAACCTCAGCTACACAGTATCAGCTCAAATGTTACCTCCTGGGGGAGCTGAACTTTGCCACAAGCATTTCCCCACTGAGAAAGGCTTTCTGGGCCTATTCTTTCTACCCTGCATGTCTTTACACAACTTGTTTTTCACTTACAATGATCACCTCTCCCATCACAGACCCTACAAGCAAAGGACACGGGCTCATCGCTGCCATGGCCATGTTGTAGCTGCCAAACCCTGTTCCCAAAGCCGTCAGGACACCAAGAAACACTAGGGACCTGAAAAAAAAGAGGCTGGTTTTCAGCAGCAGTTTCCTCACTTCATGGAGAGTCTGACTGACAGTTCACTAATCAGCTAAATTGTTTTCATGTGCCCGTATGTACATTGAATGAGTCTTGCTTTTCTAGTCATTTCTCTTGTTCTCATTGGCCATTAAGAGACACTTTTCTAATGAGCTTCCAATGTAAGTGACGGAGAACAAGGATCTAAAAATGTATTGCCAGTTTTTTTCTTAAATTCATATGTGACTAACTAGAGATTTTCTAAAGTGACAATGTTTTAATGTGGAATTTAAATGCGTTTTCGTTTTCCAGACTCTGCGTCCTTCTTGAGATGTGGAGGACGGCCAGTTACACAAAGGAAATGTGATTCATGTGAAATTTAATTCACTCCAGTGTCAATTTAGTTTTAGTTATTTAACTTCTAATTCAGAAGCTGATTTACTCACTTGTTCACTAAAATACTATTCAGTTATCTGGGTTCAGAGCCTGAGGAGAACCAAAGACATCAGGTAGCATAACTGTAGATGAGTTTAGCCCATATAACATTACTGACAGAAACATAATGATACTGAAAGATGCTTCTTATTAATGGCAGTGCAACAGGATAAGCAGCTAAATCAGTTTTACAACAAGGGCTGTTTCTTCGCTGTGGGGGAGTTACCATATAGGCTACGGTGTGTGATTATGCACGTGCACGCAGGTTAGTGAATAAATCTTTTTTCTTTTACTGTGTTCAGACAGTAGGAGAGTATCTCACTTCATCATGAAAAATAGGTTGTCATTAAAGTTTTACATCACACCAAAATTAAGAATGTCTTATTAAAACTCCTAAGGCCTCATATTAGCTTCAGATAAACTTTGGATATAGGAAAGTGGCTTCCTGGAAGTGATGGGGAGCAGGAATCTCTTAGTGCCTCTGACAGCAGTATCGCTTGTTTCAGTTTCTGGCTGTTGCTTTATGACAGACTTAAAAGAAAAATTCAATCTATTTTCTGTTGAAAAGTTTAAATTGAAACAGCATTCATTTGTACCTGTTTTGGAGGAACATTGCAATGGTGCAGGCCAGCGGGTTGGCCACTGATGCCAGAGCAGCAGAAAGGTGATAGGCCAAGATGCCGTAGGGCATACAGGAGTAGGTCTGCACAGCGGGCAACAGGCCGTTGGTGGCAGCGTTAACCCACGCCACCAGAAGGTAGATGAAGGTCTGCTGGTACACAAAACGTTTTGTACCCGCTGACCGAGGATCACTCTGGGCTGCCCCCTCACCCTGGCATTTCACACCCCCTCCATCAGTCTGTGCTCCAGCATTGTCCAGGCTGAAGCTAACAGATGCCACAGTGTCTGGCACAAGGTTTCCAATAGACAGCTCAAATGCCCAAGGAAGCCTTTTCAGTGCAGTAAAAGCAGCCAGGCTTATGCACATCATGGCTGCTAGGAAGGAGAAAAACACCTCAGTGGAAAAGTTTGGAGGAAGATACTCTGTTTTTATTGACGAGCCTGTGTGGTTTCCTGCAGTCTGAGAAGAGTTGACACATTTGGCAAAGCCCACACCTTGTGCAAGAGCAACTACAGCAGGGAGAAAACCACTTAGCCCTTCTCCGATAAAATATGTGCTGACATATTTTGCTGGAAGCTGCATCATGAAAGGCAGGAAGGTAACTGAGGAGGTGCAGTCCACCATAGAGAGGAAGAAGCTGATGACAAACAAGGCGGTGCTATGTGATGCCCCAGCCACGATCGTAGTTTTGTCCCAGAAAAAGATGAGCAGGATGCAGGACAGGACACCAATGGAGAGGATGAAGTAAATAACAACATGGTCTTTAAGATGACCTGGGCAGAATTTGTGTGTGAGGGTGACGATCAGGAGCCCCGGGAAGGCCAGCTGGATGATAACTGTCAGGTACGAGGGGAGCTCCCAGCCCTCAGGGAGAGTGTTGACTATGAGCGGCAGTTCCACCCACAGACCGTTTACAGCCACCCACGAGCCCAGGCCAAAGGCGCAGGCCAGCGTGTGGATGAGCAGACCCATACTGCAGCCGGATCAGTCTGGAACAACTGAAGACGAAGAAGTTGCGTGGCCAAATGTTCCACATCTGCTGTGTGTTATACCCTAAAGAAAAAGCCAGAGGCATTAAATGTAGTTACATGTTTAGTTATGTTTTGAGGGTCACATCTGTCAGGACCCCCATGACCCCATTTTGGACTAAGCGGTATAGAAAATGGATGGATGGATGGATCTGTCAGAACATATAGTCACATAAATAACACACTATTTCCTTCTAAAATGTTGTGAAGTGGAAATCATCAAGTGTTTCAAGACAGTACTTAGGCAAATGTGTTTTCCACCAGAGTAATAACTCCTGTTTCCTGTTTTCAATGTGCTCACTTCTATGGATAAGTAAATGGAAGCGCTAAAACGAAAAGGAAAAGCACCAGGAAGATGGAATTGCAAATGGAATTAGGAATTAGCCTTTTAAATGCCCGACTACAACCTGAATCGTTAATACAGATTATGAATTCAATTCTTTATTTATTATTCAAATTGAGTTTGAAAATCCACTATTTTTTTAATTATTGTGTTTATTGAGGAATTTATATTTCATTTGTAAATTAATTTTTACAATCACTCTTTTTATTGCCTATTAAAAAATAAATGAACAAAATCACATTAATTTTTCTTTTTTGTCCAATTAAAGATCAATTATTAAAATTTCCTATTATTATTATTGTGACAGCTGCAGTCCTCCATACCCTGCTGGTAAAATAAATGTCATGTGAGGCTGGTAAGATTAGTTTATCAGTATACCCTTACAACTTCATGTGCGTTGTACAGTAAGTCAAGGACAAGTGTCTTTCCTCATAGCCAGTGGAAAATCAACTCTCTCCTGACAGAAACTCATACGACCAAATCCAATGTCATTTTAGTTCACACCCACAGTGTGCTACTTATGTTTCAGGCAGCTGGGACAATTTTCACATCTCTTTTCACACACTGTGGAGGATTCCAACAAACCATATGGGCCCCCATGCTCTGTGTCTCTTGGCACATGTGTAGCTTTCACACTGATCTCATGGTGGTGGACAAAACAAGTCAGGAGATATGCAAATAATCATATGATTTATCCATGTTTATTCAAGAAATTGTCACATTGGCATGTGAGAGCAACGGTATGTTCTTAGACAATGTAATCAATTGAAATAACAGAAAGTAAGGTGTGGTTTTATTACACATTCATGCTTTAGAGGAACAAAAAATATAGTGGTTACCATGTACTCACTTCTGTGCGCATACAATGAGCAAAGAAGCAACCATTTAGCTATGGAAATGTACTTACAAGTTCCTGCAGTCACTGGAGGTGTTGACTAGGATTTGCTGCCATCTTACATAAAAGTCAGGGACACACTTCCTCTGGCTGTTCTTACATATACACACTGAAAGGTCAGAGTCCACTGCAGCCACTGATCAGCTCCACTGGGGAGCAGAGGGCAGCGTCTAAACACACTGTGTTTTCTTTACTGTGCTCACCTCTAAACAGGTCAAGTCAGTGAAGCATGTTGACGTTCCCTTGACATTTTGGCTCACAAATAGAATTCTCAGCTCCAAGAAAAATAAAATGTGCTTCAGTGCTTGTTTTTGACCAGGTGAAGCCCCACTCAGGCCAGATTAACATTAACAAGAGGGAAGTGCGAAATCAAATGTTCACCGTGCTCCTCTATAATTGAATATATCTCTCTGAGATTGGAGACAAAACTTAATCAAATCTGAAGATTGTGTACCGGTGTCTATGACACAGAGGTCTGTGTGGCCCTCCAACGATATGCCTCCCCAGTACATCACTGCCCCACCACCAAACCAGTCATGCTCGATGACATTACAGGCAACATAACATTAACCATGGTGTGTCCAGACTCTTTCATGCCTGCCACATGTGCTCAGTGTGAACCTGCTCTCATATGTGAAGAGAACATGGCGCCATTGGTGGACCTGCTACTTCTGGTGTTCTCTGGTGAGCATCAATCCAGCTGCGCGTTGCCGGCTGTGAACACAGGTTGTAGTAGAGGACGTCAGGCTCTCGTGGCACCCTCATATATATGATGAATGAAGCTTAATTTATAAAATGTATAATTTTATTCAGTATGTGAAAATGTTTTGCTTTGATGCATCACTCCCTGATCTGGTTTGACAATCCCATGTTCTTTGAATTCTGGTCTGACAAGCAGGTGCTCATATCTTCCTTTTCTTATGTTTGTCTCACAGCTAATGCATGTTCTCAGTTCTGGTTTTGACTTTAACTTAGCTCAAGGCTTTCTGCTTTTTTAAACAAATATTAGGTATTTTTAAAGCACCTGTATTCTCCCTTACTCCACCCAACTAGTTTTCTTGCCTGGGAACCCAAAGCTAGGTGTTTCTACTGGAAAGAGCTTTTGCTATAATGTTGTAGTTGAAGCTCAAACAAGTGGAAATACCCAGTATTCTGGAAAATTACAAGTGAAATAAATCCAATTAAAATGTCTGAGGGTTTGTACAATGGTAGAAGATATATCCTATACTTAAGTAAAATTTACAGTAGCACAATAGCTCATTAGTGTTGAGTATTTAAACGTGTATGTGTACCGTTTTTGTTTTCCAGTCCATAACTTTACTGCACGTTTCCGTTCATTTTCATCACTCTCATAAATGAAGTGTGCTAGTCCCATCCCACTGTAAGGTGCCTTCCCAAACCAAGAAGAGAGAAACATGGAGCATTTAGCAGCTAAAGAGCCAGATAGTTCTCACATTACTACAAGCAGAGCTATGAGTAAATACTGGACTTACATTCATCAGGTGCATACAAACATCTGTCCAAATGAATCCTAAAGTCGCTCTGTACCTGCTGATTGTCTAGCCAAATGTCTGCTCACAAGTTCACTGTTGTGATGTTCTGCTGTCCCCAGGTGGCCATAAAATAAACTACTGTTAGTTTTACTGTTGCTCTAACTTGGGGGTTTCAACCACTGCTCCGTGGCCCACTGCTGTTCCTTGACCATACATACATTCAATAACGTTTCACTTTAGTAACCTTTTTTTTTAAACACGTGTCCATGTATTACTCATTGTGAATAATCAAATACAAGCAAATAAATAAAATTGAGAAAAGCCAAAGTCACTTTCAGTATTAAAATAGTGCTCTACAGTTTATCCACCCCACAACAGTGGGCCTTGGGTTACTTATAGTCAGAATGGTGGTCCCTGGCTCACAGTTACTTGGAACCCCCTACTCTTAAGACAGGCTATTAGTATTGACCTTTTCATGTAACTCTCAGCAATAAATGAAATCATGTATTTCCTAAATTTCCTCAACTACACCTTTAAGTGGTTGCAACCCATGAACATTAACATGTGGTGGTCTACAATGAGACAAATGCATAAAAAGCATGGAGTAAGGTTTATGAAAGAAGTGGAGAAAGTAAAACAAATTGTCACATGAAGTAGCAAAGACAGTTTCACAAGTCAGACAACTCCTCTGACATTACACAGGACCAAAAGAGGTAGCTGATTTCACTTCTATTGTCAAGCATGGTTTAACTGGAACTTCTGCTGAACTACAGTAGATCTGCATATTAAAATCTGATATAGTGGTACAGATACAACATTCGCTTTGGACAGTCCTTAGGGGAAAAAGCCACAACTGACAAAGGCGACCACTTCCATGCACCCTGCTTAGCTGCAGTCATGCATTGAAAAAAATTATTCTGTGCAAGCCCATGTCAACACACACTGAATGGAATATTTCGTTAGACATCTGGCCACATGACAAGATGCATTTAACATTATTTGCAAAGTTAAATGTGTTTTAAATACAGAGTTTTAAATATACACCTTGAAAGATGATCTAACAGCAACACCAACCACACAATTAGTGAACCATGTGCAATTATGTTAAGTGGCCATTTTTGATGTTACAAAAAGGCAACACACAACGAGGTACACTCAATAAGATTATTTATGTTATTGTACAATCTGCATTTTTAACAAACAAACAAAAAAAGATTAGTAAGATGTACAGTATTCAAATGATCACATCTGGGGTGGACCAAGGATTCCGCCGGCCTCATCACAGAGTCCACCCAGAGCTCCAGTGATGGGAGAGGGAGGGGGCTGAGGCCTGAAATGATTTTCATGACTGCTCAGTACGTGTGTTTATACAGATATATGTGTGTATATGCATCTGTTACTATATTCTTAAGTCTTCTGCTATGTGTGCTCAGCCAAGGTGTTGACAGGATGTGGAATGTGACATGGTGGAGGACGAGAATAAAAGGGGTGAAAGCAAAACAGAAGGATCGGGGTAAAAAAAAAAAGGGGGGGGGAGACAGAAAACAGAAAAGATGGAGGCAAAACAAGCAGGGTCTTAGTTGGTGTAGATCTGGCCCTCAGGTGGCTGAGGAAGCTTCATGTTCTCCTTGCACGTCATGAGCCGTCGCAGCTCCAGCAGCACCATCCGGATGCTGTAGGAGTTCTGCCACTTGGCCAGTGCAGTGACCGCATGCATGTCAACCTGCAGGACAGAAAGCAAATAAGGATGGGCGTGGTGCTAGACCATAAACCCTGTCATGTAGGACTCAATTTGTGTTCTACATCACAGTCACAAAAGTTAACTAGACTATCTTAGCTTCTATCTTTCTAAATCATCAAAATGTTAGAAATTAGATCTTAAAACCACTTGTGAAGAAGTGATAAACAAGGAAAATGTGTCTTAGTTTGGGCAATTTGGCAATGCTTACTTTAAAAAGCAACAGTGGCAGTAAAATTGTATTTCACACTATGATGGTTAAACTTTACAATTACTCTGCAGTTCAATGCATGCCCAACCGTGGGGGACAATCTGTACACCACTACTCATAAATCTTGAACACCAGACATCCTGCACATTGAGTGGAACCAATCTAAGACCACCACCTTCGGGTGGATCCAGTACAGCTTCTTGTTCTGCATTCAAGTTAGGAAAAGTGGCCATATTAGCCGTCAGAGGATTCAAACATGCACTTAGAACAGAATCATATCCACAGAGCATGTGTGACAGAGTCATGCAAAAAAGGCTTCTTTTTACAGTGTACACCTTTAATATTTCTGTGCCACTCTGATGTGTTATGCTTGGTGCTGTAGTGCATACTGCAAAATAACACAATGTGCTTCAAATCAATTCATTTACAGTGTGGACAAACATTATTACAGAATAGAAATGATCCAAATGCTGTTTCCACAAACGTGTTTATCGGTGTAAAAAAATGAAAACCGGGTCAAGAACATTATCATCTACTGTAAAAAGACTGTGGAGACCTCAGACATGCTTATTTGAGTAATCGAGCAAGAATGAAAACTGATTTAGAAGATTTACATACCACACCGCTGGAGGTGTGCACGCCATTCAAGTTTATTTTTGTCACAAATCTGACAAATGGTGGGGACTCTGGGTATCCTGGCCCACATTCAACCTTCAGATTGTACATCCTGTTTTCATAGCTTGTCTGTGGACAGAGTCAAGTAGGAAGAAGTGAGAAATCAAAGGTGGTACACCGACAGATCAAATCTGAGACCTTCTGTTTACATGACACTAATTTTCATGAAGACTATGCAGTTTAAAAAAAAAAAAAAAAAAGGTGGCACCACTCACCCTAGGAGGGCCGAGGATGACCCCTCTCCATCGTGTTAAGGTCATGTCCTCATCATCCTCCAGGCCCCAGCTCACAGTTCCATCTCCAACACCTTTCTGGCCTTCCTCCAGCTCTTCCAGGAGCCGGAAATTGCGAGGAACTTTAACGCCTGCATGTGAACAAATGCAGCAAAGCATGACTGTTATACTCACAAATGCACATTTCCAAAACAACAGGTGCATTTAAGTACCCCCATGCTTAACCAAACTGTCTTGGCAGAGCTCCTGATAGAGATGACTTGCATTTATAAAAGTATGAGCTCGTTGTTGCATTACTCATTCAGACACACACAGCCCAGGGAACAGGAAAAGACGGGAAGGCCTTAGTTGACCTGCTTTTATTTGCCTTTTGATAATGGTGGATGTTCTTCATGTCCCCTAATTTAAGGCTACCATCTGGCCTCGACGATGCTGCATCATTTGGCCACTGCAGTGAAATGCTGGTGCTGTACTGTCAGCTGAGCCGTGCAGTCACACTGGTAGCTGGTGCAGCAGCTCGCCGGTATCTCAAGGGCCCTCACTGAAACTCAACATAGACCATTTTCTGTTTCCCTGTGATAAGCTGGAGGACAGTATCTGAGAAAACGTACTGTCACTGTTGACGTTACACAGTCAAAGGTTAATCACGCATGACGCCTGAATGTTGATGCGCCCACATTTATCGACAGCATCCGGCGCTTGAGACGCGGTTTGCACGTCCATTTTCAGAGTCAGTAAACAGTTTTATGTCTGAAATAGCGTTACCCGGACGTCTGGGTGGCGGTGCTGTGCTTCACTAGCGTCAGCGTCAATATTACATTGCTAAATTACATTATTAAATGAAATCCAGTAAGTTACACAACGCTACGTTTGTAGATAACTAGTTATAAATGTGTTTAGTAGCTTTGGACGGTAAGATATTCAACTATCGGCCATCAAACTGCATCTGGTTGTCCTACCACCTAAACTTGCTTTAGCTTTAGCATCGCTCCCTATTCATTCTCTTCAGCGGTCCAGCTTTGCCTTAGCGTCTATCTTTTCATAAATCGGGCGCCTCAGTAGATAATCCACGTCATTATGAAACTTAATAGCTACACTGAAAAACTTCACGGAGCCGGTTATTCAAGCACAGCGTCTCACGGTGATTTATTTCTCTCCAACATTTACCTGATCCGGCGGCGACCGCCATCTTGTCGCTACACAGCGGGAGCGCGCGCGTAGTTTTGCCATTGTAGCCAAAGGTGCGTGCGCGTGCAACAAACGGAAAACATTTGCTTACTTTGCTGTTCCTTCAGAATAGTCTGTGTATAGCCAAACGTCAACTCTTTAAAATACTCTCTCTTGCTCTTATTTTCATTAAATCCCACAAAAAGACCAAAACGTGTATTTATTCTCCCAACAAGTTGTAGTTGTCAAACTAAAGCCTGATACATCTTAGTTCTCTGTGCCACAGAGTTCCATTTTTGTCCAAAGCTACTAAACACATGATTGAGCCACACCCTGGAACTAGATGACATAAGAGTCACACCTGTACTGTCTTAAAGGCGTTGTACTAATCCATTGTTGGTTTTGGTCGTTTCAAGGGACTTGTTAACTGTAAATATCACCAGCCTTATCCTATAAATAGGCCTGGTAGAAGCTGGCTCCCTAACAGGTGCAGCCTGCATTAATTAATGGGCCTTTTGACCTGTCATGAGCCAAATATAAGTGTTACATTTACAGTGGCTGTTATTCAGTTTTTCATTTACATCTGTACTTTACTTATTGTGACATGTCAAAGTACCTGAAAAACAACTGCTCTCACTGCAGACTAAAGATTGTGTAGTCTAGTTAAATCACTACAACATATTTAAACTAAAGCCAAGAAATAAAGACATGTACCAGAGAAGACAAGAAATAATTACCATTTATTTAGTTAATTTATAAATACATTTTAATATATACATTGTAAGTCTCCCAAACAGAAGACAACAAAAAGGCATCAAGGCATTATTCTGATATTTAAAACTCCATCACCACCAGTATATTTAACCAACCACAACATCCATATTGCCCCTGCCTCAGAATAAGTGAAAGCCAAATGAGGGTCAATTTAAAGTCAGTGAATAAAGTAGCTTCTCATATCACTGGCAAGGTTTACAGTAAATCAATCAGGGAAAGGATAAGGCAGTTTAATTTAAAAAAAATAATCCCAGGATTATTACAAAAGTGATTTCAACACAGCATGTCAAACACACCAGCTACTGCCCACTCCACATTCTAACATGTTCATTTGTTGTCAGAAATGATTGAGTTAACACACTGTCACAAAACACCCCTGAAACCCATTGATGAAAGCCTATAGTCTCTAAGCAGAAAAAAACAGAGCTTAATTGCAAAATTTACCTCAACATAAGGCCAAGTTAACTGTACTTATACAGACCTCTCGGCTATGATACATCCTATGATGCATTTAAATCATTCAGCTATGTTGACTCACAGAATCTGATGGAAACTATTAAACTCTACTAAAGATAACGGCCTTTGTAATGTCACAAATGGAGTACATTTTCACAAATTCATATTAAACTACTTTAACCTCGTTAACCACAATGCTGATGTCCTCTGGTAAATAAGAATTAAGAATCACTCTGTGCATGTTAGATCTATTCACAACCAGAGTCCCCATTATGGCAATAAACAGCAGTTATAGCTAGTTTGTCTCCAAGCCAAGAAGATTAGAGTACAAGCTCCTTTTGAGCTCACCATATATTTTTAAAGCAAGAGTCCAATTATAAGATGCCATGTAAAGTATTAGACATGTTCCTATTTGTCTGTATTATAAAAACTTCTTTGAAATTATCATTACTTTTATATTATCGCAAAAAGTCCTAAAGCACCAAAACATCCAGTGGAGCAACACCAAAACTTCTCAATAGTAAATAGGCTGTGTCAAAGAACAAATGTGCCTACTGACTGCATTTAGCAGTAGCCAAACAATATTTTACCTAATACCGATTAATAAGAACTACAGGAGTAGTAGTAGTAGTACTTGTATACAGGCCTTAAAACTTTGGTGACAAATGCCATGAATTTACCAGGATATATTACACCTAGTGCACACAAAACTGCTTCTCACAGTACTCCACAAGCACTATGCAATCTGCAGCGTTCTTCTGCTGCTGACCTATGATGACTGATTTTCAAGGATGAAGGATTCAAAAACTGGAATATTACATTATATAAGACATAATTCTGGCTTCAAAGTAACTAACTATTATTAACTTGTCTGCTGTGACTGTTAACACCAGAAGCTTAGTAATCTAGCCTTTAACCTGGTCAACCCAAATGAACAACAAAGTTTAGCTTCTCCTATTTAAACCATGCTACCATTTCCCTGGAATGAGGATAACACTTTGGCGGTTCAAATCCGGGACCATTTGGTCAAAATTTGGGCTCATCTCTTGAAAGCAGAACAATTAATGTCATCTGGAGTGAGCACAGTCCTCCCTGGTCAGTGCCTGCTTTATGCCAAGTCACAGGAAAGCTGCTGACCTATTGCTTGTGCAAGCCGACATGCTGTGTGCATGCAGGCATTCTTACGTCTGTGTGACATCTTAATTGCCAAAAGTAATTTTGTCATGCAGTTTATTGAATAGCTACATTTCTAAGCTCCAGTTTTCCAATTTAGCAAACATGTAAACTATTATAAAAAGAAAGGCATTTCAACCTAAAATGAGTTAAGAGGCATACTTAAGGGCCTCTTATGACAATGCATAGTTATTATCAGTACAATACATTTACATATTACTGACTAAAGCAAAATAATTAATTACATAATCTCGGCTATAGGAGCAAAAAAATTCCTGGATCATCAGACTTGATAAAGCCATTATGACATCACCAAGTCTGTTTATCACAGTTACCAAGACGGTGCACTGTGGCAACATGATGCTCTGAACGTATCGGTAGCTTCCCACAATACAAAGAAACAGGAAGACGCAAGGAGTGAAAACAACTGTGCACACAGACAACACATAGCTCTGGAGTATGTGTCTGAGTAACTGACACAGAAAGACAGAATTTCCATTACAACAAAACAGAAAACTGCTGCAAAATTAACCTACAAAAGAAAAACACATCTCTGGGTGTAAGGCAGCTTGACAACACTGCCTATGCCTCTTTTCTGCAAAATTGCTTATTTACTAGGAGTCAAAAACTAAAAATGCTTCTCACAGAAGACACGCAACTGTTTGAAAAGACTACTTAGTTGGGCCAGTGTCACTCGGCAGAACAACAGCATGATACCTATGTATATTTGCCCAGATTTTCAAATGCTCTGGCATAGACACTGACTAAATTTACACGTTTCAGTGTGACCTTCAAGACCGTTTTCTGTATTTCCCCAGTTAGCTTGTCTTAGCTTCTGGTTATCAAAAATGAAAATGCAGACTGTTTGAATGACTAGATAATGACTAATTTCAATAATGAAAAAGCAGTTTATAGTCTGATGGCAATATGAACAATATAATGTTTTTCATCTGTTGATATTAAAGCGTTTTCTGAGCTGTCGGACCAGTCATTTAGCATTCAACTGAGCAGTGACTCTTCCAATGAAACCAAAGTCACTGTCTCAGAATGTTTAACTATTATATATGGCTCCATCTTGATTTGTAGCTACTAAAAAACAATAATGGTTAGTACTGAAAAAAAAATAAACTCATAAATACACCTGGTCATCATCTGTCTCTAACATGTCCGGCCGGACCCAAATGTGCAATAAGCAAACAATTGTAACAGTGATTACCCAATTTGTTCTTCAGCTAACAACACTGGTAACGCCTCCTAAAAATCCTCCATCCATGCAGGTCTTTGGAGCCTACTACTCATCCATCCATCCATCATCTATTCAGCTTTTTTTTCAGCCTATTCATGAATAGGGTTATGGGGGGGCTGGAGCCAATCCCAGCTGACACTGGGAGAGAGGCGGGGTCCACCCTGGACAGGTCATCAGTCTAATCAGTCTATCACAGGTAGACAACAACCACACACACTCACTCCTAGGGGCAATTTAGAGTCGCCAGTCAACCTAAGCTACATGTCTTTGGACTGTAGGAGGAAGCCGGAGTACATGGAGAGAACCCACACAGGCACAGGGAGAACATGCAGACTCCACATGCACAGAAAGGCACCAGGTCAGCCCGGGCTCGAACCTGGAACCTTCTTGCTGTGAGGAGACAGTGCCAATCACTGTTCCACCATGCCTGCCCTACTACTCACCATGACCTAAATCTGTGTTAAGCAGATCCTTAATAAAGTGGAAATACAGAGACTGACGCAGAGAAAATAAAGGAGTACTACAGTACATATAATGTGATTTATCAACTTTCCAAATGAACGTTTGTTGCTCCGCAGGAGAAAAAAGGGAGCGTTCAGTCTTTCAGGTTTCCTTTCTTAAGGGCTGTTTGCATTTTCTGACATGAGGGAAATCTTTTCCTTGAAAAGCTATTTCAAATGTATGCATCTGATCACACCTTCTGAGCAAACACCACGGCAAATCACATCATGAGTTTTGTTAGACGTATGACGAGTTAAGGATTGGTGAGAAGTGCAGATCTCCACGAGTGAGTAATGAAAAACTGCATCAACAAAGCCCTTCTCCTGAAAAAGAAAAACAAGCAAGCAAACAAACACAGACAATGTGTGCAAGACAAAGCTATGACCTCAGAAACTGTGTTAGTTTTCCCTTCCTACGGATTACAGTTTAAGTGAGGCAAAAAGGAGGATGAGAAGCCTGGACGGAGCCAGCGTCTTCTGAGGTAGGGAGCAGTTAGCCCACAGCGTTACTTGACTTTCTGAGCCCATTTCAGGTCATCCGACCGAGGCTTCTCTCCTGTCACACCCTGGATAAGATCCTCCAGGTTCCTCCAGAAACCCAGCTTCTCCAGAGGGTAGTTCAACCATCCTGCAAAGACAAAGCTCAGTGACAAATCTGCCTGACTCTCATCCCTTTCATCCTCAAAACAAGTACAGGGTGGTCATCTACAATAAGGACATAGAATACAAACCTGTGGTGATGCAGAAGTACGTCTCATGAGGGGAGACGTGATGGATGCGGTGGTGCTTGCGGGGGAGGATGATGTGCAAGTCCTGTAGGAGCACAACCAAACGAGGCAGGCCGAAGTATGTGTGCGACCACTTGTGGATCTGGTTGGTAAGGGTCACAAAGATGGCTAGTGCATACAAGTAACAGTACCAGGGGTAGACGTGGTAAATCTCCGCTGCAATTACAAGAAGACAGAAACGAGGTGAGACAAGAACTCTACGCTTAAACTAACAGATTAGATCAGATGACAGTATTTCCATGTAGAAGAAAATGTCAGGCTGAGTTTGTTGATACAAAAACTCACCAGGTGAGAGGGTGAGGAAGCTGAATGCCATGTGTGCCAGAGGGATTATGGTTATCATGCAGTTGTCACCATTGGTCTCAATGAAGTCGTGACGGGTGATGGCTGTGGGGTCGATGTGGTGCTCTCTAAATGGTCGTATAAAGGCCTACAGGACAGGTCCGAGATTACAGTGGGGTGAAAAACAAGACATGCTGTTCCTTTACAAACAATGGATCCTATCTTGGAAAAAATGAGAAACCGACTCATGGCTACTTCACCTTTCCAACAATGGGCAGATCCACTGATCCCCACGTATCAGCCCCCCAGTGAACAAGTCCTGATGCAAAGTCTGCGGTGAGTATCCCTCCCACTGAAATGAGGTTGTGGAAAAGAGTGGCACAGAAAAACGACAAGAAAATCATTGGACTAAAAAGAAAGAACAATTAACACTTGTTTGGAGAGCAGCCCTGAAAAAACCAACAATCAAACAACGGAAATACATCATCAGGACACTGTATAATGCCTCAGTCAGTACTTACCAATGCCCAACAGGATCTGCCACAAATATCCTGTATGGAAATTGGCGAGAAGGTGGATGAAATTGAAGGCCATGAGAGAGAAGCACAAGGCCACGCTGATCCATTCTTGACATCTTTTGCCTTAAAAACAAAAAACAAGCACACACATTAGTCTAACTAGAACAGAATGAGCAGCTACAGCTCTTTCTTGTAAGAACAGATTTGGAAACATGACTTTTCTGGTAACATAATCATGATATTACATCTGACAGCACCAGAACATTATGTGACATCATATAAGGTTGGTAAACTAATCAGCACAGTTAAATATCAGATGCTTCCTTACAACAGTGACAGTGAGGCAGCATCCCTTTACACTTTGCTTGTCATGAGGCTGGCTCTGAACTGTCTGTCCACATCTTACAACTCCAAGAGGGCGACAATCCTAATGGCTCAAACAAAAAATCCTCTGCTGTCATCACAATATATTCAACGCTGTAAACAGGCCTAGTGTGTACAGGCCCAGGGCCCCAGGAGGTCAGTGTGAAGCCACTCTTAGTATTTTTTGTTTGAATGCCATAGAGTCCAAAAACGCATGTTACCATAAAGAAACACAAAATGACCACAAAACAGAACGTGTGACTTTTTGTGTTACAGTCACAAGAAAAAGTAATGGCACTGTTTTCAATGTCCTGGTTTTCTGCATAAATTGATTATGAAAAGTGATCTGATCTTCACCAAAGTCACAAACCTCAACAAACACAATATTTATTAGCTGATAAAACACAAACAGCCATGACCCTGTGTCTTTATTGAACACACCCATTAAACACAAAGTGATGGTGGACGAAGTAATGAACACAGTGATTTAATAACTGGTTGAACCAGCTTTGGCAGTAGTAATCTCAAGCAAATGCTTCCTATAGCTGTGGAGGAATGTTTTTTTTTGTTTGTTTGTTTGTTTTACAATCACACATTACACATCAGCTGTGTGTGGGGCTCACGACTGGTCAGCATCTGCCAAAGTTTGGCCATCCTGTACCCTTGTAGCCTGCTTAAATTCCAGCACCATTTAAATTCGCTGTGATTGTCCACTTCCACTATATGTGATTAGACAAGACACACAATCACCAGCATGTGCAAATTCTGTGCACCTGAGCGTGCACTGTTTGAGTCCAGGTTGTGAGTCCATCACCACACCTACATTTTAATACTGCTAGGTAGAACATTGCATTTTGGAGGACACACACTTTACTGGTGATTGGCTCTTCTACCACTCACAAAGATGTAACTGTTCGTTTTAGCCGGATTATGCTAATACTCTTTTTCCTCTATTGTAGAAAAAAGTGGCGGGGGTGCGTTCAGGTGCGTGAAGACCATTCACCTTCTGGCGTAGGTCCAGATGGATGCACGGTTGGACGGTGGTGAGAGGTATGGCACGGGGAAATTGCCAAGATCCCACAAACTACGCATTGCTTTTTTGGGTGCACGCTGCTCTGAGTTGCCGTCTACGGACTGACTTGACAACAACACTGTTATGAGAGGTCACATCGGATCCATGACCAAATGAGGTGTCCGAGCCTCGAGCAGGAGCAGCAGTGGCTTCTTCTAACCTCTCTGATGTTGGAAATGTCAAAGGCCAACGGCGACTCCAACACAACATCAGCCCACCTCACATGATTCCTGTTGTGTAACAACACCGTGACGGTGACAAATGCACAACTACCGCTGATTGTTCGCTGCCATTTCATTACAGCAGTCAGAGATAAACCCGTGTTATTGTTTATCAGTTTCTTAGTTTGTTTGTTACTTGGTAACTATGTGAACGTCACGCCACTCACGGACACATGAACCCGGCGTACAAGCCCATGAGACGGAGCTGCTGAGTGAATCGACTCACCTGGCGAGTATAAATTAGCCAATTCACGGGCACCGGCGTGCTGTGGACCCCATCTGGCTCCACCCCGACCCGGTCCCTGCGGCTCGAGGTCCTGTGTTTCGTCTTCACATCCGTTCTGCTCAAGCATTCTTGCCATTTCTCCACCGTGGGCCCCTAAGCTCTCTACTCAGGAACCGACGGAATCATCAACTTCTCAGGCCACAGGCAACGTAACGTTTTCCACCAATCAAAAACGAGCCGTTGAGCGCAACAGCCAATCACCTCCCATGAGAATGTCCCACAGGCAGCCGAGTGACCAATAGGGTTTAAGATAGGAAAGACAACATTTCCTGACCCCACCCGTCGGGTCTTGTGCCTGTTGTGCTCTCGGACTGCTGCTGCTGCGTGTCCAGTAGATGGAGCTCTCAGAGTAGCTACGTGGGGAGAAACACGTCAATTCTCGAGTCGGTGTTACGGTAATATCTGTCACTGTCATCTGTCATATTCTCCACAGCGTCAACTACAGAAAAGGCTCAAAGATTGACAACATAATCTACATCAGGTGAGGTGTTAATGGTGCAGCAGCAGTGAAAGAAGCAGTTTATTGATGATTTGGCTTACCTAAAACGAAATGATATAAGTAAATGAAAATAAAAAAATAGTGAATACATCCCTCCCCCTTGACATTCATAGTTAAATAAGTTAAATTCATAAGAAATCAAAGTCTAGCCTATGAGTCTTTTTGTAGTGATTTATATCCCTTTCCTTCTGTTTTGCTTCTTCATGAGATCATTTTGCATCAATTTGTGGCCATTGTGGTTCTTCACTGAGCTCTGGTGGAGCAAGGTCATGATGAACTGCTAAAGTCAGGGGTTTTGTTTTGCACTTGCTTTTCCTGATTAGCTAAGATAACTACAAATGGCATTACTGAGTCAGTTTGCTGACTGATGCTACTCTGCCTCTCTTACTGTGACACTACATGTTAGGTTTAGACCTACTGTACCACTATTGATGCCACAGTCGCCATTCAGCAATTCCTTAAATAAAACGACACCGTTACAAATACACCATGGCCCTACATTTAAAATTTAATGCTGTAGCTTGTAATGTTGTGCTGTTGAAACGAAGATCATTTTAACTGTATAAAAATATGCAAAATATAGTGGAATAAATGGAGTAATGGATTATTATTTCTCTTTGGAAATGTGTGCTTACCTTTAATATGTAGGTACTTGAATGTTTTCTTTTTGTGCCACATTTTTACTTAACAACATTTTGTAGGTAATATGGGACTTTTTACTTGATTTTATTTGACAACTAGTCTTCAGATAAGATGATCCTGTGAAATATGTCTGTGGTTTAGTCACAATTTATAATGCAGATTTAACTGATTATTAAGACAGAAATAATGGGCCATAATAATGAGTATCTAATGAAATACATTTTGCCTTGTGATAGTTTTTACTTTCACATATTGATCTAAAAAAAGTGTTAATCTGGCCATATGTGTGTGTCCTGTCCATGGAGTCATTTCTGGTAACAGCAGTACGCATTTAATCAAAAAATAAAAATAAATAAATACAAGTAAAATTCCCAAGAAAACCACAAATTAGACTGAGTCACAAAATAGAATGCGTATGCGTATCTACACTGGACAGGGGAGGGTTTGTTTCTGGGAAAGGCAAGAGTTACTTTGAAGATATACCCAAAGGGAAAAGTGTTTTTGGCTGCACACCAGGGGAGATACACAAGTCCTAAACATTTATATTCACTCTGCTGCTGTAATGTTCATTCTTACAGTTCACCACAAGGTGGCAGTGTCACATTACATTCAAATCTCTCAACTCTGGTCACACATTGTTAGATTTATAACAAGAACTAAGAGTCAAGTCATGAACAGACGGTGCGCATTTATACTCATTATACACGATGAGCATGTGTAAATGGTATCAAGACCTGTTTTAGCATCTGAGCTAAGTCACTGTGCCCGGATCTGACTGTGGACTGTATATTTTAAATGTAATGTTCCCAGAGACACTCGTGACATTTCTAAATATCCCTTCATACTAAAAACACTGAATCGTTAGAGACATAAACCAGGCTGATGCTTAGTAAATTTCTCATAACACCCACCGTGATGGTTACACAGTGTTGGAGTGCATGCATCATCTCGTATACGCAACACAGCAGCGCGCACACAGACTGGTTTAAACTAGTCCGTGAATGCAGTGGGGAAACATCTGTCTGGAGATGCGTCCAGGGCTGCTTTCATGAGCATCGCTCTTATGGGGTGATTACGCACGAAGTTAGAAAATTGTAAACATGTCACTGAACGGGATTTTTCCATTTCTGTAGAGTTTATCAGATACGATTTTATTTAGATGCCGTTTGGCACTGTGGGTTAAGTGACTGTTGTTGCTTTGTGTTTTCACTTTTTACTTTTGTTGTAGTTGTCTCAGTTTCATTTAATGATAAATCCATGAAAGCCAAAAAGGTTGCGGTTTCATTCTTACTCGTTCTGTGCTACAACTAACAGCCGGAGGAGAGGCACACAAAACACAGATGAAGTTCGTTTTTACTATGTCCAAATACAAATAGTTGAAGGCGCGATTAGGTCCTTGCAAAGCAGCACAGGTCGTCCGGTTGCGTCTCGCAGCGCGTCACACACCTGCCCAGCTCCGCCCCTCTCTGCCCCTCTCTTATGATAAAACCTCCCCCGAGACAGGAAGACCTGTCAATTCCTCCCAGTCCAAGAGCAGACCCCCTTCAAGGTAGCTGTGCTGCATGCTGTCAAACGCAGCGACACAGGGGGATTTAAACTCACTATAGACTCTATTCCAACACTTGAGCAATTTCACAACTGAGGCAGCTGAACCAAAACCACTCTGGGCGTCTGATCTCAGCCCTCCATGCTCCTGCAATCCGGCGGGTGTTAAGATCCATGGAAGTGGCCGGCTTCTACGACGAGGGCAGCTTTGCTTTCCACGGTAGAGACAGCATTATCAGTCCCATCAGCGGCGGCTCTTACTGGAGGCTCGGCGACTCGATGACGGAGGTGGGCATCGAAGAGCGGGAGAGAGCGATAGACTTCAGTGTTTACCTGGATTCAGCTTTGCACTGTCCGCAGCTGACGGCGGCGCAGACGCAGCAGCAGGGGGACATTTTCTCAGATTTCCTGGCGGAGAACAAGATAAAGAGAGTTACAGCTTTACAGAACTACAAGAACTACTCGCTGCTGAACGAGCTGGAGACGAGTCAGTGCAACAGACTGAGGGACCCCAGGGAGCCATACGCGCTGGGTTACACTGATCTGCAGGAGACCCGTGTGGATAGTGTGCTCAGCCCAGAAGTGCTCGGGAACCGCTACGGAGGGGCTGCTGCTGCCGCTGCCGCTGCTGGCGCCTCTCGGGGCAATCAGGAAGACGCTAAGATGGAGAACGGGTCGTCTGGATTTGACATGAGGTCCTACCTTCATTACCAGTCCACCAGCGGCAGTCTTGGAAACATCTCCACTGCGTCCTCGACTTGCTCCAGCCCGCCCGGCACACCTGCCCCGTCAGGTAAAAGCAGGTCTCCATCGCACAGCGGCAAAATGTCCAGCGGGAAAGCAAAGAAACGCCTCGACAAAGACAGTGAAGAGTACAGGCAGAGGCGGGAGAGGAACAACCTCGCCGTGAGGAAGAGCAGAGACAAAGCCAAAATGCGCAACTTGGAGACTCAACACAAAGTGCTGGAACTGGCTGCAGAGAATGATCGTTTACAAAAGCGTGTGGAGCAGCTGTCCAGAGAGCTGGCCACCTTGCGCAACCTGCTCTCTGCCACCGGACAATGTTAGAGATCTCCACCAGGGACTGGGCACAAATCTCTGGGCTGCCTGTCTGTACTGATGGGCTTCAGAGCAGCAGGTGATCCACTGAGCGAGTTTTGAATACGGTACGCTTCACACGTGAAGACAGCGACCACCAGTTTACAAGGACACTTTGAATGGGACTTGAGTGGATGCATGGATTGCGCAATCATTCACGATTCTTCACATGTCACCTTAGCTTTATTCTCAGATGTAATTTTGGTGTATGCAGTATTTCTGTGCAGGTTTTACATACATGCGAGTGAATATGAGTATCTGGAGCAATGGTTGTCTGGGGGAAGAGTTGTGCTGCAGTGAAATGATGCAACTCTTTGTAATAGTATTGGCAATGAATGAAATAAGTAATTATTTAATATTCAAAGGAGAAATGCTTTAATTGTACTTGATATTTTATTGAATTAAAAAGATTTATACTTTGTTTAAACAATTTCATTTGTAATTTTCTTCTTTTCTTGCCTTTTTAAGCAGGTGTAGGCACAGACAGACAGACAGGGGGTGTAACACTTGCCTTAAATATTCACACTCACCAGAGCCAGACTATGTATTACCACATATGTCAGCTACAGCATATTGCTGATAAACATGGTCACATCAATAAGGCAAATGTGCAGTGTTAATTCAGGCCAAACGTGAAAGAGACATGAACACAGTATAGGAATTTGATGCTTCATTTTTTAAATCTAATCATCATCAGTAGGGCTATAATAATGCTATGGACCACCGTCATCACAATGCAGTATCATTTATTGTATTCACACAGCAGAAAAAGGCATCCAGTGGTTTGATCAGTACAGCTGTACGGTGATATAAACCTCCTCAGTTACTGATTTGAAAGTTTTAATGAGGATTCATTTGAGAAATTGTGTTTTTCCCTTCACACTATTATAGGGTAACTTCTAATGCCACCGTCATTTTCAGTCTCTGTTTACTTAATGATTTGAACAAAAGTCCTCGGATCCTGAAATACATCCAACCAACTTAAGCTGAAACGATACTGCTGAGAGCAGCAAAAAGAAGGAAAAAACTGGTCACACAGCAGAGAAATGTTAGTTTTATCTTTAGAACACCACTCTGTCAATAGTCTGCTGGGTCCACTGGCCCAGAGAGGGGTTCAAGGTTGCACTGAAAATTAATGAGCAACTAATCTCCTCACATCACCTCAGGTCAGGCTTCAACAGCCAAGACATGGCTGAGAGTCAGTGCAGGCCAGGGATGAATAATCCTGAGCAAACCTCCTATAAACCTCAAGTGAAAAACACTCAGCAAAAAATGTAGAAGTTAAAAATGGGAGTGACAAAGAAGGTTACTCCAGACTTGAAAGATGAGGTGACAGTTGGTTTGCATTGGAATTTACCAAGCTCTGCATTCTAATGTGTGCACAAAATGAAACTTATCAGTCCAGAGTAAGCAAACGCCAGACTCCAAAGATAAAGAACAGGAGCATACTGGGATTTCTATGTGATCCATGACAGTTCAGGGTGGGTAGTGTTTTCAAAGGGCAGATAGAGGAAAAAGGCACCTCTGCTAGTCTTTCAGGAAAGGACACGTGCTCTCTTGGCACTAGAAAGTCATGTTATATTCTATAAATAAAGTACAAAAAACTGTTTTAGCAGTGAGAGATGACATTTTGAACACAGTGGATATTTCAACACACTGATGAACAGTTCAAGTTTTAGATGTTGTGCAATATCCTCCCTTTCCAACACATCACCACTTGAATGCTACACCCATATTTAAATAAGACATTGTTATCATAACAATGGCTCTATTGTAGGTAGTTGTGGCTTGGCTTTAGGCCTTCCTGCGTACAATAACTTTCAGCAGATGTCAAGAAAAGTTGTAAAATATTTATAACCCAGTCACACAAACAAAGCAGTGTTTCAAGTCATGTGGTAATAATCTAACACCCAGCACTCGATTGTTGTGAGTTTATTAACTCCTGCTGCTCTCGTCGTACTGCTGGAAGTGTTGGCACAGATGCTTTCAAACATTCTAGACATTCTTCCTTCGATTACCCCACGTTTCCTGTTGGAAACCCACAGTCGTTCCCTGTTCCTGGCTCACATGCTGACAGGAGCGAGGGAAATTCCCAGATAGGATGACCTTTCTTCTTCAGAGTTTAGCCCTGCCCCTTTTCCACAGTTTACCGTCAATGGGCAGTGTCTGTCTGTAAACTCCTTGTTGCATCATAACTCCTCCAGAGGCCAACTAGCCTCCTAAAGACTGTTAGGTATTTTTAGTCAGATAGATATTGGATAGATACTTTATGTATTAGAAATGTTTAGTGGAGATAGGATGTCTAGTTAGACTGTTAAATGCTTAGTCATGCTTATGAGTTTCTGATTTACTTCATGTTTTGACTACTGCTATGACCAGCTGCAAAGCTGGTAAGAGAGACGTCTCGGTTGACGTTTCTGTGTAGTATGGGGCTAGCCCAACCGAAGGGATATAATGTATAGGCCTGGTGGGTTCAGGGTCTTTCATCTTACATCTGCCTGTGAGCAGTTTGGAGGTGCAAGATACCTGAGCATGTAATGTTAATTTTTACCTGTGTTCATGGAATAAATCAGCACTGTTTTGAAGTTACTTGGACTGCCTCGTCTCTCAGAGTTAGCACTGGTAACAAGAACCAAAGTCTAACAAGACGCCTCTGATAAAGCAATACAAACACACACACACACACACACACACACAAACACACACACCTGATATTCCTGTGTCCGCCGTGTACCAGTTGTTGTGAAATGGAAGAATTTTTTTTTTCTTTCTGAGTCATGTTATTCTGCATTTTTCTATCAGCAGTCGTTTGTTCCTCAAAACACTTTTCTTTTGATGTTGTATCAAATTGTGTTTCCCAAATTAATTTTAAAAAGTTGATGATGAAGTTGATGGGGCAGCTGTGGCTCAGGAGGTAGAGCGGGTCGTTTCCTAACTGGAGGATTAGCGGTTCGATTCCCAGCTTGTCCAGTCAACATGTCAAGGTGTCCTTGAGCAAGACACTGTACCCCCAGTTGCTCCCGGTGATGTCACGGGAGTGTGAATGGGTGAATGGCCGAATAATGTGAAAGTGCTTTGAGTGTGCTGTAAAAGCGTAGAAAGGCGCTATACAAGTATAAGACCATTTACCAAAATTCAGCCTTTTGTTATCTGATGCTTTTAATAATTTGATTTGGTTTTGGTCCCTTTTGTTTTTTGGTCTAATTAGTTTATCAGTGTATCAGGTGACACAACATGTTTGTTTTATCATAAAAACCTACAGAAGTGTGATGAAGTGAAATTATATTATGAGCTTGGGCTGTGTAGGGTGTTGTGGCATCTCCACAGATAATTCATATAGAGGCACATGACACAAATTCTAATTATACATATGTGGGTCATTAATATGAAGCAGCAGTCAACAAATACAATCTGAAATTAATTAAATAATGGTTGTAGGTTTTTTTTTAAACCAAGAGTTATGTCTTTACTGTTTCTGGCTTCTCAGATGTGATACTTATTCATCACACATCCAACTGAATATATTTGGATTCTGGACATTTGAAGATGTCACCTTAGTCAATGGGAAATTATAATGGTCGTTTGCACCATTTTCTGGAATTTTATAGACAAAATAATGAAACAATAATGAAAAGCATTATTAGTTCCAGTCCTAATATGGTACTTTATAAAAAAAAAAAAATAAATAAAACCAAAATGTAGCTGTTGTAACAAACACAACATGGCTTTGGTGATGACTGTAATGGTCAATCTCATTGTAAAACCAACGCAAAACACTAACAACTATAAGAAAGTAATTATTCTTTCTGTTAATGTGGTGAAAGGTTGCACCTAAAACTACTGTTAACATAGCTGATCAATGCATTTTAAATGAACAGTGTGTCCTCCCATCTCTCTGTGTTTCTGCTTCCCTCAGCACCAAACACACTAGTTCCTTTTGAAGATATAAAAATATCACAAATACATGCAAAGGCTCAGTAATTTTCCAAAACAGCTGTGTGTTTTAGTAAACTTCACTCAAACACAATCTAGTGCATTTGTTGCGGACTAGCCACAGATGACACATCTGGTGCTCTGATGAGCTTGTACAGCAGCAGGACAGTACAAATAAACCTTAGAAGTTACATTTATTTCTGATTTTGGTCTTTAATGGGATTTTTTGAAAGTAAGAAAAGCAAAGTTATTATTTAGCTGAAAATGTGTTTGTGACAGACGTGTATTTGCTATTCTCTATCCATCAAACCACACTTAAGCTGTGGAGTATCTCAAAGTTCTGTTGTGGGTCCTGTCCTCTTTTCTATTTTTATGCATGTTTTGCATATTGTCTATTGAAATTGTTTTGCTGAGTGAGACTAAGCCACACTTTAAGATAAATACAGATAAAACAGTTATTTTTAACACAGTGATCTTGTCTTTCTTGCTTCCTATGGTCTATAACTGGAGCTAAAATAAAAGGTATAGCCCCAAATTTAGAAAACTTGCACTGACTTGCAGTTGACTTTAAAATAATTTAGAACATGTAGATAGTGAAACGAGTTGTATAAATTTTTGAGCTGATTGTTTTTGTTTATATCTTTTTGGTTGTAGTGTGACATCATCCTAGAAAATCATTTATAGACTCTATTTGCTCAGAGGTTTAAAGAAAAAGATGATTGACCGGCCTTCTAATGACCATCTTTCTAGCCACTATTAAACCAGATATTTAAAATGTGATTTCTAAATATTGGCAATTTTAATACTGTGATTTCGATTGTTTAATTACAGTTCCTCCTTTAAGTAATAGGAACGCCGGATATCCGGACAATGGGTTGTAACGGGAAGCCAGGCGCCTGAAGTACGGTAAACGGACTAGAACACTCACTGTCTTTAAGTGAACCAAGATTTCAACATCTTTGTTCACTTCTGCAATTTTGCTGTAGATGACTGACAAACAAAAAACTGACATGCTGAGCTAACTTGTGGTCACTACACAGCAAGTATCTCTGCCCAGATCTTGTGTAACAACAGGCCATCCTTGCAACACGAGTGCTGGCTTAATGATTACAGCAACATTCATGTGTGAGAACAGCAGGCTACATTTCAATACACTTCCAGTGTGGGAAGATGTAACTGATGCTTTATGCAGAGTGTTTCCTTAATGCACACATAACACCATTTAGATGTCTCATTAATATGTATCCTAATTTTTATCCCTTTTAACTTCTAACTCTAAATCACAGGGCAGAAGAAGTGCCCACAACTGCAGAAGGGGTCATGAAGGGGCCCTTAAGGCTTGTGGATACCTCAGGTAGGCCTTCACCAAAGCAAGGAAGAGGCCCAACAGCAACAGGGAGAAACCAGAAACAAGAGGGGATAACACTGTCATCCCTTATGTGGTTGGTTTATCAGAGAAGTTAAAAAGGATATTTCACAACCACAATATCCCAGTTA